TGTGAAGCCTCCACTGCCTGCTTCACTTTTATATTTCTTCCAAAATACGTAACTCTCTTTCTCTTGACCCCATGCTGACCTAGCTGTTACCTTGCTTACATTCCTTTACATCTAGTCCTCCTCTCTGCGTTCATGATAAGCAACGGCATTCTAAACCCTGTACCCACCATGGTCAAAAACTAACAAAAAGGGAAGGAGGAGGGTGAAAGGGGTGATTAGGCACATGTGTGTGGTGATGGATTGTACTTAGTCTTTGGGTGGTGAACATGATGTAATCTACACAGAAAACAAAATATATAACGATGTAGACCTGAAATTTATATAATGTTATAAACCAAAGCTACTGCAATAAAAACAAATTAACAGAAAGTAGTCCAGAATGTGGAAATACCCAGAGCTCAACTTCACAACATGTACAATATCAAGATTCACCTTGGGAAACAGAGATTTCTCCTCCAAGTTATCCACGGAGCCCAGGCAGCCCCAGGCTTCCTGGCACGCTCCCTGGGGACTGCCTCCAGCCCAGACAGCCAGGCCTCCCTCCACCTACACACCTGGGTCCCCCAGGTCTCCTCCCTCAGGTCTCCTGACCTTTTAGTTGCATCACAGCTTTCCAAACTCCCTGAGGCATTTTGTGAATTCACCCCCCACCAGAAAAATCCTTATTAAACGCTCTCTGTGATGACCTACTTAGTCACAAGCCCTATTTTCTTGTCCTTGGTTTTGACTAACCAATTTATTACCTAGTTAGCTTTCAAGTGAGACGTGTTTCATTCTAACACACACTCACTCACACTCACTCACACACACACACTGCTATTTGGCTTATTTCCTCCTGCTGCTTAACCAGCAAATTGCCTGGGGCAGAACTACTTGGAAGCCAATAATTTGATGTCTCTACTTAGTGTCGTATAATCTCATAGATTTTAAAGTACAACCGTCTTATTATACAAAGAAAGAAATGTGGTGACCTAACTTGGCCAGAGTAGCAAGCCAACTACAGACTGAGCAAGACTCCTTGAGGCCAGTGGATGTTCTTCCTGCATCAATTCTTCTTGACGCTTCCCAGAATAAAACCCCTCCAGTAAGGAAAGAACACACATCCCTTTGTTAGATCTCATGCGACAGCAATCCTTTTTAGGTGTACAATTTAGCACCCTATACCCTCTAGCAGACAACTCCTGATAAGAGGCAGAGAAATCCACTCGTTAAAAAAGAACACGACGTGGGGCTGGCCCCGTGGCCGAGTGGTTAAGTTCGCGCACACCGCTGCAGGTGGCCCAGTGTTTTGTTGGTTCGAATCCTGGGCGCGGACATGGCACTGCTCATCAAACCACGCTGAGGCAGCGTCCCACATGCCACAACTGGAAGGACCCACAACGAAGAATATACAACTATGTACGAGGGGGCTTTGGGGAGAAAAAGGAAAAATAAAAAAAAAAATCTTTAAAAAAAAAAAAAAAGAACACAGCGTCCATCAGGATAAGTCAAAAAGCCAAGCTACCCACAAAAGGTGCCATGTTGACGGCATGAATAACACTTTCAGGGCAATTCCTAAAGAGAGCCAACCCTTTTTGATTCCTCCTCTCAATCACTCCCTCCCAAAGTTCACCCAATAGTTACATCTGCCACCAGAATGAAGCAGTACATATACTGAAGGGCCTAGTCTTTGGCATGGTGAAAACAGGCCGGAAAATGCCAGAAAGACAAGAAAATGATGCAAAAGTCATTAAAAAAATTTCATCATTTATTTCTTTTCTTTTTTTTTTTTTAAAGATTTTATTTTTTTCCCTTTTTCTCCCCAAAGCCCCCCAGTACATAGTTGTATATTCTTCGTTGTGGGTCCTTCTAGTTGTGGCACGTGGGACGCCGCCTCAGCGTGGCTTGGATGAGCAATGTCATGTCCGCACCCAGGATTCGAACCAACGAAACACTGGGCCGCCTGCAGCGGAGCGTGCGATCCTAACCGCTCGGCCACGGGGCCAGCCCCTCTTTTTTGTTTTTTTAAAAGATTTTACTTTTCCTTTTTCTCCCCAAGAGCCCCGGTACATGGCTGTGTAATTCCAGTTGTGGGTCCTTCCAGTTGTGGCATGTGGGACACCACCTCAGCGTGGCCTGACAAGTGGTGCCACGTCCGCACCCAGGATTCCAACCAGCGAAACCCTGGGCCACCGAAGTGGAGCACACGAACTTAACCACTCGGCCACAGGGCCAGCCCTCATCATTTATTTCTTGATTTCAATAATAAAACGTATGCATAACTATTTTCTATTGAAGCTAAATTTAAGGAAGAATTTTATGCTTAACAAGAATGGCTTCTCGATTTGATTCTTGTAGAGTCACATGTGGTCAACCTACAAAGCTATCACAAACACACCAACTTTTCCCTACTTCACTTACATCTGCCCACAGTAAATGCCATGATACAGGTCCCAGTGTGTGGGTGTGGAGCTGTTTTGTTTTTTTAATGACACCTGGCCCCTGATTTTGAGTAGCCAGGATGATAAATTTTGTTCTAGGACAAAGTGGGAACCTGATCTTATGATTATGATTAGACTACAAGCTTCGGGGAGGTGGGGGCTCCCTCCTGCCCTTCCTATCACCAGCACCTTCATATCAGTGCCTGACAGGCTCCTCAGAAAATGCGGTTGACAACTGGAATAATACAGAAATCAAACTCCCAAAGTCTACTTCAACGGCTCTGAATGACTCTCAAGTACTCTCTGACACTTTTGCCTTAGAAAAAAAAAAAAAGAAAGAAAAAAGATTCTGTAATCAGAAATTATTTGCTCATTTCTTCGTCTTTCAAATGAACGAATATGCGTCTTTGTCAAGGGAGATCTCTTCAAGTTCTCAAAGTGACCCGTCCCCACCCCCCCCCCCCCCCCCCACCCTCCCCGCTCTTTCTTAAAATGACAAGGAGGTATCCTAAATGGGAAGACGACCTCGCATTTGAAGAACTACAGAGGAGCTGAAACAGACTGCTGTAAAGCAGGGTTTCTCAACCCCGGCACCAGCGACAGTTTGGGCCAGACAACTCTGTCGTGTGGGACTTGTCCTGTATGTGGTAGAAATGTTGAGCAGCTTCTCTGGCCTCTACCCACCAGATGCCAGCCGCACTCCCTCTCAGGTGTGAACCAATGCCTGCAGACATTGTCAAACGTTCCCCAGTTGAGAACTACCACTCTCAACTCACACAGGCCTCGTGGAATCCTGGCGGCCCTCTCGCCACCTGTTTGATCATGGGCAACATCTAACTCTCCTACGCCCCAGCAAATTCCTCATCTGTAAAATGGAGCTAATACCACAGAAATGCTGTGAGAATTCAACGAAATGATACATGTACAGGATTTACATGCACACAACATCCAGTGCCAGAGCGGCTGCCCAAGAATTGGTAAGAAATGACAGGAGGCTAAAAATTAAGCTCTACAACCAAAGGAACCTATCTTCAGGCCCCCAGAGTACCGCAGTCTAGACGGAAGAAGCAGCTGAGATAGAAAGAAACGAAGAGTAGACACAGGTTGGAAAAGAGGGACTAGCACTGAAGTATTTCCCAAGTATTTCTCCAAGAACCCAGCTCGGAGTCAAGGCCAATGATGTTCAACTTCGTTTTCCTCGGGTTACTCTAACCTCACAAATGAGAGACCAAAAATATTCCCAAATCACAAAACTCTCCAAAATAAATAAGTCAACATGCCAGAAACTTCTTAATATAAACAAGGGGAATTTACTACAATGTCTACACAAAAATAAAAAAGCAACAGACTGCCAAACCATTGTCCTAGATTTGGGAATCTCAATAAGTTACTGAGAGTCCTAGACAAATAGTGATGATGACCTCAACATTAGCTTTAAAAGACAAACTAAGAACAGACTTCTTAAAAGTCCCTGACTGAACAGTTCTGAATTTCCTTCATCTCTACAGCCTTGTCTAACGAACAGCTTTTGAGATTACAGGAAATTTAGGGATTTTTCTATTACAATGGTGCCAGAGACAGAAAGACAAACATGTAAAAAAAAATTTCAGTTTTTAAAAAGCAAACTCTGTCTATTATCAGGACGCTGAAATTCTACAAAAAGATATAGTCACGTGACAATTTGGAAACTAGCAGAAAAATCATTCCTCAAAAGAACCGTGGTCACGGGATGTGTCATCACTTAAAAAGAAAAAACAGCAACAAAACCAACTAATACCTCCACAGCCCTTTGGTCTGCACTTTAAATTCTCATCTTGCCTCTACGTACTAAGTTGGAAGAAAGAAAGGAACACGATTCTGAAACCTTAGCCAGAGTTGGAATCAGATAATGCCCCAAACCGCCTCCAGTCCCTAGGAGTGGCTTTACATTCCAAACTCCTCACCCGAGTGGTCACAACATAGTGGCAAATGCTCACCTGGGCAGCAGGTCAGAGGTCGCCAAAATCAAACTGCGTGAGCGCCTTCGCCTTCTCGACATTAACCATTCGAGGCTAGGGTTTGGTTTGGGTGGGCTGGGGCGTGCCGGTGTGCCCCCGGGTGACGGGTGTTTCTCCGTGTGCATTTCTCCGTGTGCGTGTGTGTTTCCCGGGGTGTTTGTGTGTATGTGTCTCTCTCCCCGGGTGTTTGGGTGTGTGTGGGTCCCCAGGTGTTCTTGGATCTCTTTCCCAGGGGGGTCGCGTGCCCCGGGGTGTTTGTGGATCTCCCTTTCTCCAGGTGTGTGTGTGTGTCTGTCCCCGTGTGTGTATCCCCAGGATGTCTGGGCGTCTCTCGCGTATTTGGGTGTGTGTGTCCCCCTCCCCGGGTGTGTGGATGCGGGAACCCCTCTTTCCTCCTGCGTCAGTCAATACGAGGCAGCGAACAACAAGCTGTTCCCCCTCCCGCGCAGGCCTCGTGCCCCCCGCCCCAGCTGCTGGAGGCCCAGCCGCCCTCGGGGCCCACACGCCTCCCTCCAGGCCCTGACGCCCGCGCCCCCCGCCCTGGTCCCCGGCCGACTCCGACGGGAGTCCGCGCCCCGCTCACCTCGCGGCCACACGGAAGACGCCGGGGAGCTCCGGGCCAGCCCGGACGGGTGCAGGGAGGAAAGAGAGAGGGTTGAGGACTCGGCGGGCAGAAGACGGCGGCGGCAGCAACGCAGCGCTGCCAGGGCGCGACTCCACTTGCTGCCGTCCAGCACCGAGGAAACAACATGGCGACGGGCCGGGGCGGGGCCCGGGGCAGCGGGGCGGGGCCTGGGCGGTGGAGCCCAGGGCGGCGGGGCGGGGCCCTTGGGAGGCGGAGCCTCGAGGTCGCGGTCCGCCGCGCCCTCACCCGCTCCCTGACCCCCTGTCCGCCTTCAATAAAGCACGGTATTTCTTGGGGTTGGCGATTCCTGCTGTCCTCTGCCTTCGTTCCGGAGAGAGACAGCACGAAATAATAGTTTTCCTTAAAAGTTTACGTAAAGTGGAAATAAACAGGTCGCATAAGCACAATCACAGATTGTCGTGATGACGATGAGAAAACGAATGTGCAAAGGACAAACGGGTAAACGAAAAATGAAAACAGCTGTGATATTGTGAAATAACAGGAATTTCTTATAATTTAAATTTTCTCCTTAATCTTGCTAAATACTGCCTCTGTCATCTCTAAATATGAAGCAATAGCGGGAAAAGGCGGTATTGAGGAAGCTCTTCTTAATTCCTCTCTGTATATGGGGTCCAGCGCATGGGTCTTACAAGATACAGGCCCCTGGAGACGGGAGGGACTTTTAGTGACCTCTCAATATATTTTGTGGGTTAGATTTAGTTTTATTTTCCAAGAGAAGCATCTCAGTGTTATGATTTGCTGGGACCGCAATCACTAAATAATCTCCTGCTCTTTAGGGAGTCATTTTCAGGTAAAGCATCTAATGTAGTCTTTTCATTCCGCTCTAGAAAGGTTATATTTGAAAGAGTTTCTCACAAGTGTAAGAGACAATTTTAGAACACTAGTGAAAATGAGGCATAAATGAGTAATAAAGAGTGAGTTCTAGTCTGAGCTTCAATGAATTTTTCTTTTATAGAAAAAAACCTATTTTTTATCCATGCAGGATACTTCTCCTGGGAAATATGAGTAAAGGTTTATGAAATACAAATCTGTTGAAAATAGGGAGGGGGAGAAATATTCATTCCTTTATTTTAAAACACATAATAATTAAAATTCTGCAATAAAACATATAAGAACATTAGTTAATTTGCCAAAAGAAAAAAATACATAAAGTGTCATGTACTAAATTGCCACAAGCAATCCACAGAGTCACTAAGGAAATGCTACCTAAAAATCGTATGTCGTAATCATAGTCAAGGAGTGATGGAATAGGAATTTATCTCTGCAACTGCTAATACCAGCCAGTTATTAACGAGTGCTCTTATGGAATTATTCTATCTTGACTTAAAGTGGTAAGCCTTAAGAAATCCAAAAGTTTTCGAAAAAGTGTTCTCAGAAGATCCTACAATTGATTCTTAGGCTGTTCCAAAACATAAATGAGGCAGACAAACATATCAGAGTGTAGCTTATAGTCAGCACTTGAAGAAAGAATGAGGAAAGGTACTTTTTCTGAAATAACTATTACTTGGACACTAGCCAACTGACACACGAATATTTGTATATTCTGGTCCCTTCCACTATTCACTTCTTTACCTAATTGATTTGACAATGCAAGAGGAGTGTGGGTCACAAGATTTTTCCCTGGAAGGGGAGTTTGGGGAGATTTTTGTTGTTGGATGTGTGTGGTTAGCAAGCTGACACAAGTTAGATAGATGGTCTCTCTCTCTCTCTTGCTCCACGAACTTGTTTACTGACAAAAAACATTGAAGAACTGACCTAGTTTGACTCCCTTCAACTAATTAGAATTTTCGTCTTTATATTCTATAAACTTGTATTGCATCACTCATGGAGGAAAAAGAGGTCAAAGTTGCTAGATATTAAAGATTCTGTTACCAGAAACCAGGCAAGGAAAGGGTTAATGAAAATCTGATCCATAACTAAACATAGTCTGTCAAATGTTTTCCAGACAAGAAGAAAACTAAATGTGCTATTTTTCGGAAGTTGATGTCCTCAGTTTTGCAGATGTTGCCATCCTACCAACACGGTTGCAGCAGGACCCTTGTAAACTGCTCCAGCTCTAAGTGTCCAAAAGTTCCCCTGCACCTGTTATGTAATGGCATGTTGCATTGAGTCCCTTATGTAATGGCATTGAACTCGTTATGTAAGGCCTGCACATGCACCCTGATTAGGCCCAGTTGTTACACAGTTGTAACATATCCTCTGCAAAGTCTCCAGCTGCAGTAAGCTGGGGGGCACTGCTTTGGGAGCGATCCCCAGTGCTCTCCATTGCTTGTGCAAGCAATAAACCTTTTTTCTTCACCCACTTCAGCCTTGGTTGTGCTTTTCAGCTCTGCACACACCAACAGGTGGACCTGTTGAGTTCAATTACAATTCCTTCCCTTAAATGACACCAACTTATTACTATGAGCACTGGGAGTTAATACCCCATTTCGAGTTGGAGTCTGAAAGAAATCACCTCTGGTATCTCTGAAGAAACTACAAGTAACAGAGCCCCAGATGCAGGTGTAATAAATACTGATTATAATTAAATTGATTATACTTTTCACATACAAGGAAAAACACAGAACTCAGTGGTAGGCAATTTGACCATTAAATAACATCTAAACAATCAGAAATTTGGTATTTTTCCCAAGTCATTGGCCAAAATAAGAGATTTGTTCACAATATTGCATAGATGTTCTTATATAGCTGTGCTAAGAAAGGAGAAAAGCATAAAAAGTAATTCAAAATCCATTATATTTGGCTTTAAAGTCAGAGTGAAAATAGATAATAAATAATGTTAAGTGAAAAAGAACATTAACAAATAGTATATGGAGGAAAATCCCAATTTGGTGAAGGAAATACTTTTTATAATATATAACTTTTCAATATGAATTGAAATATTTATTTAATATATTTATTTATATGTGTTTATATATTTATATAATATATACATTTTCAATATTTCAAGCCAATGTCACACTCTTCCAGTTTGTCTTGAAACTAAATTCAGCATGTTTCCTACACTAATACAGAAATTTTTTTTCTTTTTGCTGAGGAAGATTCACCCTGAGCTAAGATCTGTTGTCAATCTTCCTTTTACTTTTTTGCTTGAGGAAGATTAGCCCTGAGCTAACATCTGTGCCAATCTTTCTCTATTTTGTATGTAATTTGCCAACACAGCATGGCTAACAAGTGGTATAGGTCTGCGCCCAGGATCTGAACCCACGAACGTAGGCCACCGAAGCAGAGCATATCAAACTTAGCCGCTACGCCATGGGGCCAGCCCCCCAGAACTTTTGATCCTGATCCTTAAGTCAGATAAAATCTCAATATATGAGGAAATACCAGAAATCTGATTTCTTCACTGCTTATCTTAAAAAGTAGTGAATCAAGAAAAAGGAATAGTAGCATCACCCTTAATCTATATATCGTCAGTGAGAAAATTTCAGAATTTGTAATCTTCAGGTTGATGTGATCAAATGGAAAGTCTGACCCACAATCATGATAGAACATATATTCTTTCATGGGTCCCATGAATTCTGTCCAGTGGCTGATATTGAATGAGCACCTGGATGTCATAAGCCACCGACATGCTTCCTTCTATCAGCCTGCCCACTGTCAGAAGAGATAGAGCATGGGAGGCAGGAGTCAACACACCTGGCACCTCCCCAGTTAGTGAGTAACCACCACACCAGCCCAAACCCTTCCAATGCCTGCAGCATAGACACACATCTACTCTCTCCCTCCCCTTGAGTGGTTTTAAGATTTGCAGAAAAGGAAAAGTCATTTCATACTTATACTTATACAAATACATACAAATATATAGTGTATTTGTTAATACAAATAAATACATAGTGAGTACGCACACTATGCCAGGAACTGAGAATACAGAGATAGACAAGACGCAGGAGAAATTCAGGGGGTGTCCCCAGGCACCTTCCCTACATTTTTGCTCCCATCCACCAGCTGTGTTTATATCATGACCTTACCTTGTTGAATAAAATCAATTCAGTCCCTTTCCTAGGACAGCTCAGAAGAGTGGAGGAGACATTCAATAAGCAACTAAACAAATGTACAGTTACAAGTTGGATTAAGGGGCTGGAAGGAAATAAACAAGAAGCAGTTGGTGGGAATACAAGGTAATGGTACCGGAGAAGGCAAGAATGAGGAGGTGACTCATGCTGAGCCCTAAAGATGATTAAGCAGGGGCCAGCCTGGTGGCGCAGCGGTAAAGTTCGCATGTTCCGCTTCTTGGCGGTCCAGGGTTCGCTGGTTCGGATCCCGAGTGCGGACATGGCACAACTTGGCAAGCCATGCTTGGTAGGCGTCCCACATAGAAAGTAGAGGAAGATGGGCATGGATGTTAGCTCAGGGCATAGAAAGTAGAGGAAGATGGGCATGGATGTTAGCTCAGGGCCAGTCTTCCTCGGCAAAAAGAGGAGGATTGGCAGCAGTTAGCTCAGGGCTAATCTTCCTCAAAAAAAAAAAAAAAAACAGATGAGCAAGGAGCAGTGGGAAGGGCTGTGGGAAAGCAGTTCACCAAGAACCTCACACATAGCAGCATTCAACAAAATTCTGAATAAAGAAAAGATGCAAACTATTATAAAATCATCGTAATTGATGAAAAAACTGAAATTATAATTGTTTCCCTAGCCAAAATTAGATGTAATGTATTCTCTTAAAATAATAAGCGCATGTTGAATATGCTGCTCACACTCTCAACATAGCTTAACTCGAGTAATTACAGATGGCAGAATTAACAGGCATTAGAATTCAGGAATGAAGTGGGGAATTTGATACATTTGCTGATTTCCTGATGAATGTGACTCATAAACTGAATTTCACCTTTAAAGGCAGCAGAAGGAAAATTCCAGGCATGCCATGGTTACATTACATAAAAAGGTATATTTGTGTGTGTTTGTGTAGGTGTTTGTGCATATGAGTGTTTATTAAAAAAAGAATGAAAAGCAATCAAGAAAATCAAGACAGTTGAACTGTTAGGGCAGCAAGATTCTGGGAATTTTGATTTAAATTTTGAATTCCATGTTACAATATTCTTTTAAGCAATAAGTGGAAATTTTTTAATGAAGCGATTTTAAGCAACCTTTAGAAATACTTTGTATGGCATCCGAA